TGTTTTACAGATTATGCAGCAAGACATAACACAAAACCACCCTTCAGTGTCAAGAAAATGGAAGGCTTATTAAAGGAAGCATGTGCGCAAGTTACACAAGAAGATTGGTCAAAAGTAGTAGAAAAAACAAAGAAAATAATAATGGACGACTTCGACAGAGACGTACAATTCGATGATTTCATGGATAATCAACTAGTCATTAATTTAAATGACGATGATGACGAGGATGACAATGATTCCAGTACTTGTAGTGAATAAATAAATATCCTTAACATTACTTTTATTTAAATGCTTCGACTTCGACCTTTAGAACCTTAAGATTTTTTCGGTATTCTATCCTCAGATTACTAGTAAAACCTAAATTTACCAATAAACAACCTTTTACAATAACTTATTTAAAAAATATAGGAAAAGAGTACAGAGAAATAATATCTTAAATTTCGGATATTATGGTCATTGATCTCTTAAAATTCGGACATTATAGTAATCGATCTCTTAAAATTCAGATATCAAAGTAATTGATTTTTTAAAACCCATCCCTATTATTCAATTTGTCAGAACTATCAAACGGTACTTCTTAGATTTGATGGACTATAAGTGTTTTATGAATTTTTGTGATGTTTTTATAACCTTTGACACTTACAGTGACAATGACATTTAATGACATAACATGTCAATGTGTTTTTTTTATGGCTTCGATACTGGACTTTTAAGCCACATGTCAATATCTTCATTTCGTTTTAACTAATTGCTTTAAAAGGTAGGCAAAGACATTTCTCTATACTGCCATTTGTAGTGGAATGTTGGTAAGGTTTTGAAGCTGCACATAGTATTGTTTTTTATTGATTTTTTGACAACTAAGGCCATGTTTTTGAGTGTTTAAATATAAAGATATTTTTTTTGAGTGTATGTTTTAAGGTTTATCTGTTTCTCACTGTATTTCTTTTATATCGTGTCACACTACCTACTGTAAACACTTAATCGGCAGGAAATGCAGGTCTTAAAAACAGCAATTTATTCAAACAATTTATTGCTTCATTTTATTTATATATATATATATATATATATATATATATATATATATATTTTATTCATATATCATTTTGTTTTGTGAACTTTATTTAGTATGTCTGATATTAGCGAATACTGTTCAGCGGAGGATCGCACCTCATCTTTTTGCTCCCTTAGCGACTGTTCGAGTGACGATGTACATGATTTAGGCACTTTCGTGGCTAAAGAACTCAGTATCACTGGAACTTTGAATGTTTGCCACTAACTCTGTAGTCCATGCGGTTTTGATTTCGGAAACTTGGCTAAAGCCTTGTTTGAGTTCAACATCTGTTGACCTTCCAGGTTTCACTCTTATTCGTAACGATAGAATTGGCAAGGGTGGCGGGGGAGTCGCCATTTATCTATCTCAACATATACCTTATAAGATTTTAAATTCTTCCTCATCTCATTACGATTGCATGGAATACTTAATTCTTGAAATTGACGTTAAATATTGTAAAGTTCTTCTAGGTGTTTTTTACTGCCCCCCTTCAGTTCCTTTCTTAACAGATCTTGAAACTCTTATTGATAATATTTCATCGGACTACAGGCATCACATAATCATGGGTGACTTTAACATAGATCTTTTAAAAGATACTCATTCTACGCGAAGTTTTCGATCCATATTTGAGTCTGTGAACTTCTCTATCTTTCCTCTTGGTCCGACTCATCATAATATCATTACTGACGACTCATGGATCGACCACATTGTAACGTCCTCACCAGACTTTGTCTCGAAACACGGTCAGCGGTCAGCGCCAGGGTTTTCGAAACACGACCTGATTTTCTTGGCGTTCAAAGTAAAACCCCCTAAATCTAAGCCGACTGTTGTGCGCATGAGAAATTTCGCGAGGCTTAATGTAGAGAAGCTTTTAATTGAAGCAAGTGCCATTGATTGGGCGCCTGTATATGGTGCATCTTCAGTAGACGATATGATTTCAATCTTTAATGCTGCAATCATAAAATTGTATGATCAACATGCTCCAATTAAAGCTGTGAAGCTGAAACGTCCACCTGCTCCTTGGATCACTCCTTTGGTGCGCATTGCAATGAGAAGACGAGATAAGGCCTTTCGTGTTTTTAAAAGATGCCGCACTGATGCCAATTGGGAGGCTTTTAAGAATGCAAGGAACCGGTGCAACCAGATGATAAGAGGTGCTAAATGTCGTTATATTCATCAGAATGTAACTGATTCTACTCCAGCCGAAATGTGGAAATTCCTCAATTCAATTGGTATTGGCAAAACACGAACTCAATTTTCATCTTCTTTCTCTTTAAACGATTTCAACCGACACTTTTCTCGGCATAAAAAACTTCCTGACACTGTTAAATTTCTCACTATTTCCAAACTTTCTTCCACGGCTACTCATTCAAAAGATATTTCCTCCTTCAGCACACTGACTGAAGATGATATCCGTAAGTTCGCACTTTCTATTAAGTCTAAGGCTATAGGATTTGATAACATCAGTAGAAACATGTTTATCTTGTTATCGGATTCCGTACTTCCTATCATAACTTTTATTATGAACAAATCCCTATCTTCCGGTTCATTTCCTAATGTATGGCGTAAAGCTTACTCTATCCCTCTTTCCAAAATTTCAAACCCTTGCACTCTTGATCACTTTAGAATTTAGATCAATCTCTATTTTACCGTACCTCTCTAAGATTCTTGAAGCTGCTGTCCATCAACAGCTTTCTTCATTTGTCTATCGCAACCACCTTCTAACACCCTTCCAGTCGGGGTTCCGCCCCGGACACAGTACCACTACGGCGCTTATTAAAATCGTTGAGGATATACGCGATGGCATGGAGGAGTCACGGTTGACTGTGTTAGTACTTCTCGATTTTTCTAACGCTTTTAATGCAGTTGATCATGATATCCTTCTTGCACTTCTTGCCCAACTTGGATGTTCCTCCAATGCGCTAAAGTGGTTCAGTTCTTACCTTCGGGGGCGTCAACAAGCCGTAAAAATAGATCAATTGATCTCTAACTGGTCTAACTTATCTGCAGGGGTACCTCAAGGAGGCGTTATCTCACCTCTTTTCTTTTCTATATTTATAAACTCCCTTGCTTCCATTATTTCCACCTCTTATCATCTGTATGCAGACGACCTTCAATTGTATGCGCAGGACACCCTGCCCAACCTGGGGAGGGCCGTTTGTTTACTGAATGAAAACCTCTCACGGATACGTGAGTGGTCTGATAGCTTTGGGATTACCATCAACCCTGTTAAATGTCAGGCGATCATTATAGGCAGTTTTCGCCAAATTTCTCAGCTACATTTGAACACAATTCCAGCGGTTACATACGATGGTATAGTAATCCCTTATTCTACGAACGTAAAAAACCTTGGGCTCATACTCGATCACTCTCTCAGCTGGGATGGCCAAATGGAGAATATATGCCGCAAGGTAAATGGCACACTTGGTGCGCTTTATCGCCTAAAGAATTTTCTCCCACCGTGCACGAAAATCTCTCTGGTACAGTCCCTTGTTCATCCCCTCTTTGATTATGCTGATGCTTGTTTTACTGATATAAATCAACAATTTCTTAATAAGTTGGATCGTCTTCTCAATAACACTATTCGCTTCGTTTTTGGTTTACGTAAATACGACCACATTTCCGAGTTCCGCAAAAGACTTAAGTGGCTGCCTATTCGAGAGCGTAGGTATTTGAGGACAGCTTGCACCCTTTTCAACTTACTATACGATCCACGCACCCCTGGATATCTGAAATCGCGGTTTCAGTTTCTGGGGTCTTCCCATCGATTAAATCTCCGCTCAAAAGATAATTTGATACTTGAAGTACCGATTCACCATACTAGGTTTGTCTCCAGTTCATTCACCCTTACTGCCATTCGGCTCTGGAATGCACTTCCTCTAGACGTTCGAAACGCTCCAAACAGGACGGTGTTTAAGAGTTCGGTGCGGGAACATTATTTGAATCTATTGCATAGTGCTTAAGCTGAATCAGGATACTAAAATCGGACACTATATTATAGGTATATTATGTATATATTTATGTATATATGTGTGTGTGTATGTATTTATATTTATTTTGGTATGTATGTATATGTGTATGTATTAAACGCTATTTAATTTTGTTTTTTTATTGTTTGATGTTTGTTCTTTCCCATGATTGTCTGCCGTTTTATTGACTCTGCACGTTCTTTCCGGTTGACTGGTAGAGAATGCCATGCTGGCATTAAGTCCGCCATATGCAATGTAAGGCATTAAAGATTAAATAAATAAATAAATAAATAAATAAATAAATTCAATCCAACATATTTGTCTGGTCAAAAAGGAAGGCAAACAAACAAAATGATACTTTATAATGCTAAGAGCTAGTCAATTCCAAGTTGTTCACACTGATTTGCCATCGACTGTACTAATATATCACGTTCAAAGTACAGGTATCACCTAAGAGGCTCGATTTACGCAAGTCACGATATTCAGTACCAACATGTAGACCTGTTTAAAACACACCTACGCGAAATATGGTAACCAAGCTTAAATATAATATTACTTCAGGGTAATATTAAGTGTCAGCCTGACATGAGATGTGGTTGCTTTAGAGATATTGTAGATATTACGGATTGGTTAAAAGGGGGTAGATTAACCGGGAAAAACCAGATATTTACGCCCACTCACATTTTGCAGAGTCTACCGAATTTTGGGACGGACGAAAAATCATCAAAAACTTATGCTTTCTGTAAAAGAATCTATGAGTACTGAACCTGCCGCTTTCCTTAATGGGGCTAGTTGCCCTTAAGCAATTATTACGAGACTTGGTGTTGCTATTATTACATGCGAAAATTGCACTAGCAACAAAGTGCCGAGACCCTACAAGATTTCCGCCAATGACAGTGGTGTGTCCCAATGCAGACATTGTAAAAGTTCTAACCTTACCTACATGAAAATATCATCTATTTTCTTTGAAATAAACTTACCTTTAGCGTATACCGAGTGTGGTTGCAGAGCTTGAACCGTGACACTGGTTGTGTGTAGCTCATCGGCTCTCAATCTGAAGTGGAAGCACTCTGAGACGAGCACGCTGCCGTCGTCGCCTACGTCCACGGCGGCCGTTCGGCGAGTACGGACGCCACGACATGCGCGCTCTTGAGTCACTCTTACGACTAATTCGCGCTTGCTGGACGACGAATCCAGCTGAAACAAAGGAGTGTTTACTACTTTCTGTTGTTTTAACGGTTAAAGGTGGGCGCATATGTACGGTTTTCTGACCAGGAATTCTGATTCGGAAACCTAAATGCACGTCCTTACATACAAAATTTTCAACGAGGCGCAGAGAAGGCAGCAGAATCGAAAAAACCTAATGTTTGGTTTTGACACTAACTAATAAAAAATGTATGCGCTGGGCTCACTGAATTCCGGATCAGAAAACTGAATCAGGAAACCGTACATGTGCGCCCAGTCTTATGTTTATTCTTGCGCACGGTTTGATACGTGCGCTCATGCGTCACTCGTACAACTACTTTGCGCTTACTCGACGACGGATCCAACTGGAACAAAGGAGTGTATACGATTTTCCGTTGTTTTCAACCGACGCAAAAACGGAGGAGGTTATCAATTCGACGCGTATTTTTGTTATGTATGGTCACATAACTTTTTACAGAGTAGTCCAATTTTAATAATATTTTTTTATTGGAAAGGGCTCCAAAGTTGGTCCCATATAAATATGAAAAAGAAAATATTTTTTAGTGTAACTCCCCTACATGTATCATGTGTGGTATCATTGAACAGGTACTTTAAAACGACTTAGGGTTTGATGAGACAATTTTTCGTTTTAGGGATTCTTTTGTGAAATATTAAACATCAAAGGGCAAAATTTTGCTCGTTTGGGTCTGCCCGGACCTCTAAAAACTAAGCTATTGACTTGAAAAATATCATAATAACAGTGAAATATCAAAGAAAGTTATGACTGTTCTAGTTAAAAATTACGTGGACCTAATGGTACAAAATATCATTTTTTAAAGGTTTCAAATGTTCCTTGTGGAATTAGCGTTATGGAACTGTTGGGCAAAAAGGAGGTTACTACCATATAGGTTTTTTTTATATTATAGTGACCACCCTCGCCTATAGTCATCTGCAATACCAGGAGTATCATAAATGCGACGCTGGCCCCTAAGGAAGGAGAACGTCTTTTTACAGTTTTTCGGGTCGTATTGGTCCGGAAACACTTCTAGCGACAATGTGTTCCACAGTTTTATTGTAATGGTAAAAAAAAACACAGATCCCGTGCTCTACACGACTTGCAAGGGCATTGAAAATGAATTTACCTATTATATATTACCTATTAAAAAAATTAAATAAAAAAAACAACTTTCCCAAAATATTTTTAGATAATCTTAAAGCCCTTCGAATTCAGCATGTTTTGAGCTCTCATACATCCTCATAGCCGCACGCGAGCCGCCCGCCGCGTGATATCGCACCTCACGCCTTGCTCGCGCCGCATAAAACTCGCAGCTAAGGGTACCTCTACAGCCTCAACTGTCACCAATATCGAAAAAAGTGTAATGAACTAAAATGTTCCTTGGTTCAATATCGATATATTGTTTTTCGTCAAAATCGCACGGTTGTGTACAGCTACGCATTAAAAAGACGTGGATGAAATTTTTTTCGCAGCGGGCGATAGCTAAAAAGAGCATCTGGAATTAACCCAAACAATTCCTCAAAACACTGCCCGTGATAAATGCATTAGAAGATTATGTACCCCGAGATATTACGGCACTGGTGTAAGTACAGTGATCGCGGAGTAACTGGGAAGATCACAATACCTGCAGCAGTGCCGAAACATCTCGGGGAATCACAGAATTACAGAAAGTATATGATAGGAATCCCGCTCATTACTCTAATGTTTGCTTTATTGTCCATGAAATTTTAAACAATCTATGTTTATTTTATCATATATTTATTTTCTATTTAAAAAGTCAAAAGGAACCATCAACGTTTTAAAACACGTCGCTAATGCTTACTTGTCTCAAGACGGTCCAATATGTCATGATGTTGATGATATCGAAAACTGGTTGAGCTCTCTCTATTTATACCTATTGCAATTTTTCTAGAATAAAAGAGAAAACGATAAGAAATAAGAGACTTGCGGGCTCAGTACTAAAATCGAAGTTTTAATGACGCCAAAACACCGCACAGCCGAAGGGTATTGACCTATCGAAGGTTCTATCTTAATTTGACAATTTGATCACGCAACGGTATCACTGCCCCTTGACGAGTAATTAATTACTTGTGTACGTTACCTACATACAACGAACACACTATAATGTAAACCTATTAACGCCTTTTTATAAATTACGCGCCGATTGATAATTATTTTATTTAGATTGAAACTTTACCTGGTATATAAGCCTGTGTTTAGACCACTTCACATTTTTTACATCAGTCCAGCAACACGAGTTATTTTACTAATTGGCGCTATTATTTTGCTATCTATTCTACTGCCAATCTGTGGAGCCGATTTTTGCGTGATGTTATGTGAGACTACAAGCCTTACTCATTCTCAGGAACATATCACCACTAAAAAGTGTCATTTAACTGGTCTTCTTGTAAAGAGGAGGTTATATCTCCTGACGACTGCTACTCAAAGGTAAATCCGCTTGTCCCTGCCTATTTTTTAGAAGTCTATTAATTGAAAATATTAAACGTTATTGCTGAAATAGATAAGAAGGAAAACCAGTTTCACTTTATTTATTGTCTGCTTAACATGTAAATTTGCTATCTCCACTTTATTCAAGGAGTTGCCAAATTTACGTAAAGGATGTGTTCACATTAAAGGAAACAAACGCCACTGTTAGATAATTTTTGACCAAAAGTGGAGTAAGCAAATTTACATGTTAAGCAGACGTTATGTCTAATTATCTAAAAGCTGAGACAGATCGTAGTTAAGAATGATTTTTGTTAACTTCTTTTAGCGGTTATTAAATTTGTTTTTTTTATGTAAACAAAGGTCAATATTGTTACAGCGCTAAAAACACTGTAATAAGATACACAAATTTTACGAGAGTCGTATCGAGTAGCAGTCAATTAGTCTCATGAATTTTAAACGAGAAGAAGAGCGATTGCTTTGTATTTTAATCCATATTTTTAGAAATATGAATATAAAATCTCTGCTTACATAAATTTTCCAAATTTGCTAACTCGATTAGATAAGCGAATGAAATTGTACGTTTGATTTGCGTTACATTTTTAAATTTAATTTAATTCCTCCGTTGTGCTGTATCCGTACTTATACCTCGAGCACTCCGCACTTTAAACGGTTAGTCGTTTGACGAAAAATTTTTAACCAGAAAATATGTGAATTGCATAACAACTTTTCTATATGTCTATAATGCGGTAGGATCAATAGGAATCGCTATATTTAAGAAAAAAAAATATGACGTTTGACCTCAAATAAAAAAGAAAAAAAGACGCGTACAAAGAAATTTGGTGACTCATTTCTTTGTTGCACTATCCGTAAATGGAATGCTCTGCCCGCTCACGTGTTCCCTCCCTCTTACAACCTGGGATCCTTTAAAAGAGGCGTGAAGAAGCAACATGCAGGCCGGCAGGGTGAGGATGGCTGGTGTGGCAGGTAAAACTGTTGTATCAGCTATCTTCACATTTGGACTTCACCTTCACTTAACATCAGGTGGGGTGGAGTCATTTGTCGGACCTATCTATAAAAAAAAACCTCAAATATATCTCAGTTGCCTTAAACCTTATCCATAGTGATTTATAACACGTTACTTCTTTTGTCAAAAGGAAGCGCCCTGAAAATTTTCAGCTCGTTACCTCATATTCTTGAGTTTGATGACCTCCGTGGCCGAGTGGTTAGTCGGCGTCGCCATGAAACCTGGCGTGGGTTTCATGGCGATGCCGACTCGAGAGGTCCCGGGTTCGAATTCCGGTGGGGGCAGATGTTTGTGTGATGTATACGACCATTTGTACTCCAGTCATGGATGTTTAATATTTCTATATAAATATATTATAATTATGTACAGTATATACAGTATATGTATTCTAACCGTTACTCTAGTATCCCATAACACAAGCCTTATTGTGCTTACTTTGGGGCTAGGGCTAACACCAATTAGTGGTGTTAGTATATTACCATATTTATTTATTGTTATTCTGAGATTGAGCCCATTTTGGCTTATTCATCAAGACTATATCGACAGTGGAAAGGCCAAATGTGCTTATACGCCACTTTAGTCGAAAATGAGATAAATAATAAAAAATATTTGATCCTCGTTTTTGTAAAGTTAAAAGTGGCGTTTAAGCGATTTTGCTTTTTCAATTTATATTAATAGGTGGCACTGCAGTTAGTTTCAAGCTTTTCTTATATATTTTCATTTATGCAGGATAACGCCTGTCAGCTCCATTAGTTTTTTATAATATGCAAAGAGATATTCGTAACACTGGTACCTTATACATTAGTAATGAAAATTATTTATACATATAGATATATTTTGGGCCTATAGCATATTATTCCACCCTTCCTGGTGTAAATGTACCTAATGTGTATAGTGTACTACTCCAGTCATTGCTGGCCTTGACCCAATCTCTTACCTTGTAGAGCCCTCAAACATTACTCATCGGGAGAAACACAACATCACCTAAAGTGTTATTTATTATGATCTTCTGTAAGTGGGAAGGGTACTTTCTCATTTGGGCGCTTTAATTCAAACAGATAATCCATTATGCATTACCTGTCCTTTATCTAGGGTAATTAACGAAGCACCTTTTTTTATTCCTTATAATTCAGCACTGTTTCAAAGGTCATGATAACGAAGTAAATGCTGCTAATGTCATGAAATATTGATGGAACTGTATAAAGATTTCAAAGTAAAAAGTGAGTACGGGAGACCCAGGAGAGTTGTGACAATTTTTAAGTTTAGGGACATATCACGCTAAAAAGACATTCAACAGATATGACCTATGGGAACGTTCCATTTTCAAAATAATTATCAAAACTAATTTAAGTAATACGGTACTGCGGCGATCTACCCTGAAGGGATAGATCCTGGGGGCGTAGTTTTATTAAATGGAAAACAACTTATATGTTTAACTCTTTTATTTTATTTTAAATCAGGCGAATATAATAATTGAGCTTAATCTATCAACGTATGGTTGGGTGCCCTGAACTCTATCTCTTGGAATCTTCTATGAAACGACAGAAGATTCCCAATTTCAAATATTTAAAAATCATGATATTACCTTTTTAATATAACTGCCAGCCGTAGGCATTTATGAACAAAGAGTTTACCCAAACAAGGAGGCTGTAACGTAACGGACGTTACAGTACCAACAATATTGCATAAAAAATAAATAAACCTTATAAGTAATCTATACTTATAATAAATCTGTAGAGAGGTCAATTCTGTACATGAAATATATTTTCAAAATAACTATCAGGGGGTGATTAGTGATCGATACTGATGCCAAAAATGCAATCAGTAAAATTTTTGTCTGTCTGTCTGTCTGTCTGTCTGTGTGTTTGTTCCTTATAGAAACAAAAACTACTCGACGGATTTTAACGAAACTTGGTACAATTATTCCTTATACTCCTGGGCAGGTTATACATAGTATACTTTTCATCACGCTACAATCAATAGGAGCAGAGTAGTGAAGGGAAATGCTGGGAAAACGGGAGAAGTTACTCCATTTTTTAAGCTTCCGTCGCGTGTGCAGCCTTAATGGTTAAAGTTACATAGAAATCATGTATGACGGAAATATTTTACATAAAATTGTCTAAAAAATATCCCGCAACAGCATATGTCTATCTTTTATGGTTGACTCACAATAACACGTGTAACTCCTGATAACTTAGCAGTTCGGAGCATTCTGATTATATTTGTTTACTCTTACGTTTATAATACTCTCACTCATCCCTAATTTAAAAAAGTTAACATTATTACCTATTCAATAAAAAAAGAATCATAGAAATCGGTATATAAACACCAAACTTATACATGAAATAAGCCATGGCGCCGTCGCATGTGAATACTGAATCATGCTATAAGGATTATTTTTGTGTAACGGTTGGAAACACTGATAAATTTTAGAGGTTTTTAATGTAAGGTCGTAAATAAACACAGCTTTTTCCGCTTACATTGCAAACGCTGGCTGAACCCTACGAGATCGATCAAAATAATGTACTACAGTATTGTATACCTTAAAAATGTCTACAAAAAAGTTCGCCATGGTATCTGTCTATCTCTTAGGGATAACCCACAATAACCATTTTATATCCTATACTTTTTACGAGAAATAATAGATTATTTACGAAGCGATTTTCAGCAATATAACATTCTTCCTTATCCAATTAAGTACCTTAAATACATTGTGCATTTAATATAGACCAATTTGGCTATTTAACGCATGTAATTTAAATGAATATTTTCGAAGATATTAGAGATTTAAAATGCAGGGACATAGCGCTTCCGACGCTACCGGGCGGGGCGCCTGGTGGCGCGTGCCTATTGTAATTAGGTATTAGAAGAATGTCATTGTGTATAATACAAGCCTGAAACAAAAACTATAGTCTACACTACAGCTCTACACCGAAGCGAAGCGCGGGCGGGCCACTAGTTATGAATATAATGCTCAAACACACATAAAGATATTGCAAATAAATAGAAAAAAGAGTTTTTAAATTCTCAGAGAAATTTAATTCAAATAGAAGAGTTGTGATAGGCTGTCACAACCCACCTAGGTGCTCAAAATTACGACTTGGTTCGATTAATTATTCATTATTTTTTAAACACTATTAAAACACAAAAAGTCAGTGCAACATATTGAGACTTAAAGAACTATACAACTTGAGAAAAAATAATACAACAATATACATATGATAAGACAAGATTTAAATTCAATGAAGAGGAAGAACTTAGTTTAAGATTTTTTTTTGTATGCATACGTCGTAATTACGCAACCGCCTCTGGTGCTCCACCGGCGGGTACTAAGTGAAATAGCACGTACTACAAAAGAGCATTTTTGTCATCTCGCTAACTATTATAGGTTGAGAGCAATCGTCTCTGTCACAACTCCCCTAGGTCTCCCGTACATGGTAGCAATTCCGTTAATTACTTCAAGTAACCATGAAAGTTAAAAACAATATTAGCCGTACCACAAAAAAGTTAACCCATTACGACTTTGACCTCTCAGCAACCCATACCTGTCGATTTTGGGGTCTAAGCGACTGCAAAAACCTTCTAACAAAATGTAAGCAACGCGTGCGTGTATACAAACCTTATTGAATTTGTATTACGATAATTGATTTGAGACCAAAGTCTTTAGGTATTGAAGATTGGTGTAGTGTGTACGATGGGGTTTAGTTGAGCGTTCGACATGAATTTAAGTAAAAAACGTCATACAGCATTTTTCTGAACATGTTCTAAAACAGTGTCAACGTTTATCTCGAAAAATTTATAGCAAAGAAAATTTTACTAAAAAAAATTCCACGCGATCCAAGAACTCGTCCCGTCTGCTGCGTCAAGTAACATTTTCTTTAGTTTTAAACGTCTAACAGTTAAATGCTTCAGAAATAAAAATATACCTAACGAGTTTATAATAATTTGTATTTTTAGATAGATCATCTGTATTAAAATGTATTAATCCGTATAATACTATATACCACGCTAGGTCTTACTTAAACTTGTGTTTTAAAGGTTTTATCCATATCCATACTTACTTTGAGACCTCGAGCTTCTACCACGGTGACTGTAAGCCGATGGAGATTTTCATTATATAGAAGGGAGACGAGAATTTCTCCTAAATCTGACGTCGGCTCTTGGAGTTCCTGTGACAAAACAGTATTGTTAACGCAACTTTAATGTTTAACTTTTAATTTGCAGTCGGTAAAGTTAATCATATTCCCCCTTATAAACGAGAAATAAGCCTGGACTAGTTACGCAGTGTTTTGTTCGTGTCACTCAAATGCCATTTGTCATTCAATGAACAGAGACATAACATGAAGTAACTAATCCTAGCTTATACTTCTATTATTAATAAGGCGATTCTGTTTAACAAAGGCAAATTCCAAGTTTCCCTTTTCCAATTACTTACTTACATTCATGTTTTTTCAAAATTTTAAACTAAAAATGGACCAAAGATGAAAAACTAACTTTTTATTACCATCTATATAGACATTACTTAAATGGAAATTTCCTGAAGTGGTTTCAAATAATAATCATTCATTTTTAGATTAAAATTAAATGGCTGACTGTATAAGAACATTTTTTTTTACTAGGTCAAACTATTTAACTAACAGAAAGGAGACATACTTGTAGATTAGCGGAACTATTACCCGAATAAATTAGAGATCGATGATCCCCCAAAAAACATTTCTACCTTCTCAATGTCCAATTTATACAGCTGCGGTTCTTCATCTGACGCGACGCCTTCCAATTCGCTGAGTGGCAAAATAATGTGGCCGATAAGCTGCTTGCCTTTCCCCACTCTTCCGACGTCCAAAACTGACAGTTTCAGCGTTAATCCTTCCAGCTTACCAGGCGGAATCTAGCAAAAAAGGTTTTTTTTTGTGTTAAAAGGATGGTAAAAGTCACCATAGCCTATAGACGTTTACGATACTAAAAATATCACTCACTCCGTTGCCTACCCTGACTCAATACCCTACCCCTTGAAGCCCTCTGGATTCACCGACAGAAACACAACAACACCAAAAAATTACACTTTTTAAATTTACACCGTTTGTTGATCAATATTTTATTTTAAATAATTCCCGGATTTCCTGCTCTAGCACCTCTGTAGAAGTAACCTCCATTTTACTTCTGTAAGATGGAAATTCTCTTTGCCCTACCTTACTTCATACGATCACGGAAACCTTCGTTTCTATAACGATACCTAATTCTTTGATTATTTAAAGCGATAATATTTCTACGTTCAGTCAAGTGCATAAACTCTTATTATATTGAGAATAAAATATACGATATACCGAATTTGTATACATATTTTACAGGTGACTAAACAATTATTGTATCTTTATTGTAAGGCATTGTATTTCCAGAGGCAACATTTTCAGTGATGGCGCAGAAGTTCAATAAACAAAATTAATGATTTCTCTTTATACTCTAGATGTGATTTGATCTTGTTCACTAAATTATAAGGATCTGTAATATGTATACCTGAAAAATATATGTTTTGCAAGTTCAAAGTATTATAGTTATATTTATGATGTCACAAAATTGCATAAGTATTTTATAAGGTAAATAAAGCTTAATTAATTTTTTGATTAAATGTTATTCAAATTCTACTTGTAAAATCATTTAAAATACATAATGTAACTGAATCACATTTCATTGAAATTCATGCTGAAATTGTTGTGAAAATCCATTTATTTTTATATTATGGAAAACATTTCTCAATATTATCCCAAAGGAGTACGTCTAAAAACTTGAAATTATTTAACTTATTGCCATAAGTAAGAGTGAGTGACATGGAAAATCTGAGCGGAAACATCACCGAACCATTAGGATCAATTTGTTAGACGGGGCTTCAGAGACGCCTCCTTTAAATATTCTCGTGAAATAATCTGATTACCGAGATTTATTGCAAAATGTGGGCAGACGGTTTTCACCCTTATTCATATGTAAATTAGTTGGACCGTTACAACACGCTGACTGATGAAAGAATTTTTATTGTAATGTTCGGAATAAACAATCTTGTGGGTTTTATTAAGTTTGTTAATAAACCCACAAGAAAATTATTTTAATAAACTGTATAAAAATTTTTTTTCAATCATTTTACAAGAACTAAGCAACTGAAAATAATAGCAATTATAGTTATTTATTGTTTTAAGCATTTAATTGAATAAGAGGTTTAATTCTAACATAAAATTACTAGATTAAATTCCACGCGGACCAGGCAGCAGACGGGACTCGAACCCGCACCTTCCGCTATCCTGGTTTTAACATTAAAGTGTTTTCTAAATTTTATATCTTTATCTTAAGCATTTAACTGCTAGATATCTGAATATAAAGAAAATTTTACTAAAAAAAAACAAATTCACCACCCACTCCAGGCAGCGGAAGGGACCGTCCCGTCAGGTGCGTGGACCGCGTGGAAATTTTTCGACAAATAATTTCTATAGATTCAAATATTATATTGTTACAGTGTCAATACAAAATCAAATAGAGGCGGTGCTTCTCCGGATAAGCGTTTCAATTCAAGCATAATGTTACAAGTGCGGCTCAGAGATTTCACTAAGATAGGTTTCCTTTTGAGGCTATGTAAGCTTATTTGAAATGGAGATTTAGGATCGTAACTGGACTTTGAATAATAATTAGGGGTCTGGCTTCGGCTACAGATATAATTTAATTTATTGTATTATAATAACATAATTAATCAATATTTGATTACTCGTTTAGGGTTTTGGAGTAAATTATAAAATATTAGGAGGAAAATTATATTTCTTACCTGATAAACAAACGTTTCATCAAAGAATGGATTGCAAGTTTTCTTCTTTTGCTTCGTCTGCAGTACTCTTCTTTCATCCGGCATCAATTGGATCCTGTATTAAGACAAAAAATTTTATACTTAAATTATTGGGGTTACGGTACTAAAATGGCAATTGAAAATTTAGTTTAGTTTAGTTTTAGATTCCAGATTTATATTGGTAGGTATTATAGTTTAAAGCAGTTATTATTTTTTCGTTATCCGATATCCAATTTGTATGAAAAGATAAAAGGAATGTGACTAAGAGATCCATCTTAAATACCTTACTCTACAGGATTTGATGTTAAATTATTTCAGAATTCGGGGTCGGTGCTTTGACCGACTACCAGATCTGGAGTTTATTGAAAAGTTCTTATATTTATTTTTCAAGAAATCGTTTTATATTAATTTAGAATCTACCTCACCTAAATTAGATCGAAAGCTCTTCGTTAAAAACAAAATATTTATTGTAAGCATTTTAAATACAATTCGCTATTGCTGATGAAGAGAAGTAGCAAACCGTCCTATATGTTAAACTTGATAATGTCCCATGGCACTTACTTTATGTAGGGATCGCATGCGTTGGCCAGCGCGGGGGTACGGGAGGGGAGGTGCTTGGCCTTTATAATATGCACTTGAAGCCTTTCAGTACCCGACTCGTACTTCATCGTGAACCACACTCGACCCTAGGGAAATCACAAATAAAGGGTCAATTATACCTGATCCTGTCATTTCAATAAAACCCGATTCACTTGGTTCTGTTTTGTTGTCAACACCATTCAGTTGACATTCTAAAGTTTTTACAAATATGAGTGCTGGATAATGCCACACACATATCTCTGATCCCAAAATTGAGCTCGTGAAGTGAAAAATCAGAACAAAGAGGACACCACACACATAGACTTTAAATAATAAGCTTATTTTTAGAGCTTTCTTTAATTTAAATGAGATATCGTCCAATACCCTAACAATTAAGAGTTCAGATATATGTATAGTGATGGGTACTAAAGATCACCTAGATTAATAACATATAGACGACCTCCGTGGTCGAGTGGTTTGTATGCCGGGTTTCATGGTGTCGCCGACTCGAGAGGTCCCGGGTTCGAGTCCCGGTGGGGGCAGATGTTTGTGTGATGAATACGAGCATTTGTACTCCAGTCATGGATGTTTCATATGTATTTATATAATACATATGAAACATCCATGATATATATATATTTATATAGGTACATCCACACTGAAGTTAGCGACTATTACTTACATTGGTTAGTAAGCAAATTTCATTCCATAAAATCATAGATGAAATGTTGTTAAACTTTGAGATATTTACTTTTTAAATATTAGGATTTTACTACATGCTACAAATAGTCGCTCACTTCTGATTTAAAATAGCATTCACGTTCGCTTATTATCTAAAAATCAAAATATAAGAATATTTTTAAATATTCTCTAAAATTACGAACTACAGCACCACCATCAGCTTGTTAATATCACACTTCTAGGATAGCGGGCATCCATATGGATAACTTAGGAAGTACGTAAATATTTCGATTTTTAGACAAAAATCAAACGTAAATGTTGTTCTTTAAAAGTAAATCAAACACTGACCTTTATTTGTAATAGATTAATAGAACAAAAAACGTTACATAACTGAACAGTTACAGCTTCTGTAAATAAGGATATGTGGATTGCATTAATTTGACTATTACGATGTGTTTATTTATGTTATGAACACATGTGTATTTGATCAGTGTCATGGGGAAATCACTGGGACATTAAATTTGTATGATTGAAGCTTTAAACTTGTGAGATAATAGGAACAAGGTTCGACATATTTCTGTCCGATGGATTCACGCTACACTAAATCGTGAAGTAAACCACCTGTAACTTTGTAACATTTGACAAAATCATAAGTTATTATATTTTGCCGCTACATTCATTGTTATTTATGCTTATGTGTTGTAGTGGCGTCACCCTAGACTTTCTTTTATTTTTCTCTTTATTATCATTAATTTTATTCTTTCATCCAACAGATGATCTATATGTCAAAACACCGTTTGTCACTGTTTGTTCATTGTATGTTCTCCACACAATTCGAAATCAGCATTCCTCACTAATTATTTTCCGGATAGACTGCAAGGGAAACGTAGAAAGGATCCTAAATTGAAGACAAGTTTTTCACACAGATTCTTTTGCTATCAGGGTGTAGCTTTGTACAATAGAGTAAAGAGTTTGTCATTTGACATTGTGGGTTACCTATAATGCGAAGAAATGGCACTGCCTTGCAGCTTAAGAATGACTAGAAGAAATTCGATGCGGCCGTCAGGGCCGCGGTAGCATAATTGGTCAGTGCATTTTCCCGGATTGCGAAGGGTACGGGTTCGAGTCCCGTCTGCTGCCTGGTCCGCGTGGATTTTTTTCTAGTTATATTTTCTTTAGATTTAAACATCAAGCATAAGTCTCATTTAATTTATTGTTTAGCCAAATCGCAAGCTAAGTTAACTACTACCAAATGGCTCCAGAAATTAAATTACGACGAAACAGAAAAACTACTTAAACACGATTGTTAAAAAAGCGGTCAAGTGCGAGTGGGACTCGCCCATGAAGGGTTCCATAGCAGCAAGTCACATAATATAAAAGTCCTTTTAGTTCGTTGTAACTTTGATCGATGTTTTAATATTGGTGTGTTTTTTTAAAGGTAGGTTCATTGCGGTTTACGATTTATGACGTATTAAAAAAAACTACTAACTAGGTCTCATTCAAACCAATTTTCGGTGGAGGTTTGCATGGTAATGTACATCATATATATTTGACCCCTTTGAAAGTGTCTCTCGCGCAAACTATTCAGTTTTGAAAAAAAATGATATTAAAACCCTCAATATCATTTATGAAGACCTATCCATAGATACCCACACGTAGGGGTTTAATGAAAGATTTTTTTTGAGTTTCAGTTCTAGTATGGGGAACGTCCAAAATTTATTGTTTTATTTTATGTTTTTGTGTGAAAATCTTAATGCAGTGCACAGGATACATCTAATTACCAAGTTCCATCAGTATAGTTCTTATTGTTTCGGAAAAAAGTGGCTGTTACATACGGATGGACAGACAGACACTGCTTCGGACCAGTGAAACGGGTTCCATCCACTTGAGACACGCGCTGTGAACTTTTTGTGCAAAAATGGAACAACAAAATTAAATCCTATTATATATGTTCAGAGGACGGTGGTTTAAATTCAACATTGAATTTTGAAATAATACTTATATATAGAACGGGGATATTAAAATTTTGCTGTCATGAAAAAGCTTTACGGCCGCATAGAGGGGGTAGACGATATATCGTGCGGTGAAATGCAGCATGCAGGCGAAGGCTGTCTCGGCACTTGTCCGTTGAAGTTTCACTTCTACTATGTGTCCCAACACACGTTTCGATTTTTGCCTTTCAATTTGGTTTTAATATAATCGTAACATTAAAATTGAAAATTTACTTTTACCGTTTTTTATGTTTCCATTCTTCCTGTTTATTTCACAACAATAAATCAAAATAATAGATACGTACGAGTGCCAACACCAAAGTTGACAATCTTAACGCGACAGCCGAGCACAGGTATGAAAATAGAAGCACATTCATGAGATTACCTTCTGTACTATCTCCTTTTTGTGTTCCGATTCAGTTTAGATTGAGGAGTTTGTTACGTTATAGTCGTAATTAAATGAATGATCAAGCCAATTGCTACAGTCTGTCTAATATGAGTTGTTACATGGTTGGAAAATGTACTAATTATGTTAGTTGCTAACACCTTATAATATGTGTAAGTTTTCAATAACTTTTAAATTTAATAAGGAATGTGACGCCACAAATCTGGTATAACCTTTAAGTTGAAACATTGTATCTAGATTTCGACTGAATCGAAATGGAAAGCAGTTCTTTTTAAGAACTTATTAAGAACCTTATCAGTTCTGCAATAAGAGATCGAAGTAAGCCTCCAGCTATAAATAATAAGAGCTAGCAACTGTCTCATAAGTTGCCGGGTAAATTTGACGTTTAGTTCTCTTTTAATTTTTAAATGATACCATTAATAAAAATAAATAACGCTAATAATAATAAGTGACGCTTGGAGGCGCCACTATAACGTATAAGGATAAATTGCGCCGAATGAAGCTGCTCATAATAATTAAGATCGAACTTCATTTCAGGTAGTTCGTTTGATCCTTAATTATAATATGAATTCACAAAGTCACGAAAATAGTTATTTTGTAACTGGCCCATAAAATACGAGTTGACAAACAGAAATAATCGGGAATAAAAATGCTTATTTTACTTTCATTGATTTTCAGTTTTTTTTTTTGTTACAATTATCGCACTGTAACAATTGCTCCAAACAATTCATAACTGAAAAATAACAGTCTGAAGTTATACTGAATCAACTTGTTATTACTAAATTATTACATGGTAAAGGAAAAAGGAATTATTATACGTAAACTATGTTTTGTGATTGGCTTAAAAGAAAGGAACTTTAATGTTGAGTTACGATGCTTAGAAAAGGGTACCTACGATTTCATACTTTTCTATACTTAAGATCCCATTTTATCACATGATTTGTGTATTATTTGTATTTAATATAACCTATTTGTTATTAGTAATATTTTTTTATATAAAATTACAATAATATCAAACCAAACTGTAACTCTAAATATGTGGGCATAACATGATAAAATTTTATGGGCTGAAGTTTACACAAAAGAAAAATATTTAAATCGAATTTCAACAATTAAACAAAAAAGAAAACACTTAAATAAAAGTACAAATTAACCGATTTTCTCTTTGTTAATGAAGTATTAATCGTTGGATTTCTTTCCGAAATTGAAGAAGCTGACTACAAAAAATGTCGAAGGAAGAATGATCCCTATGCAGGTTATTGTATTGGCGACACATATTTGTGATTGGGTTATAAAACGTGTTGTTTTTATAAACTTGCAAAGCAAATACCCTATGGGTGGGATTACGCGATCTAAATCAAATATTAAAACTAAGCGTTGAGGTAAGAAACGGTAAGTCGAGGAGTGAGTGTACAATTTTATACAGGTAAATTAACTGGTGATATTTGCGCCGGGATTCTAAGGAAGAAATTTTAAACCTTTCTAATTTCATCTCGTAAGATTTATATTTACGACCTAAATTAAGCCTGAAACTGAGAATATTGAGAATCTTTCTTTGAACTCCTTCAATACGCTCAGCGTGTATATTGTAATGAGGTGAAATGACTGAGGCATATTCTAGTTTGCTTCTCACTAATGAGAAGTATAGGTATAGCAGAGTTGACTGATTGGTGAATTCTTACAAGTTTAGTGCAACGTGAAATAAAACCAACGAGTTGATGTCAGTGGGAAATAAAATAGTCATGGTGTGGACGGAACGTAAGACCCTCATCGAAATACACACCAAGATCCCTAATAACAGGTGTACGTTGTAGTGTAGAACTGCTGCTATGGTAATCAAAAATGAGTTTATTTTTAATAGAACCAAAGGATACAACATAACACTTGCTAGAGTTGATAAATATATGGTTATCGGAGCACCACCTATTTACTAGGTCCAACTTGTGCTGCAGCTGAAGGCAATCTTGGGTATCCTGTATGGCATAAAATGTTTTGGAGATCATCCGCATTCGTTTTTTAATATTATAAT